CAGAGCCCTGTATGCTTGCAGAGACCCCTACAGTAGGGAAACATGCAAAACAGTGTCCAAACCTTTGTGTTTTAGCTTTATTTATGTCTTACACAGCATCCCAACTCTTTAGCTAACTAACTTTAGCTAAAGTGAATAGTTAGTCTAATTCATTAGTGCAGCATTACTGGATCACCTCAAGAATCAAGAAATAAACAGATCCAGTCTGCTGATCAGTCCTGATCAACAGGAAGTTTGAAACTACATCTAATACATTAGTTGTAGCTTTAAAAATGTCAAAATTTAAAGTGTAAATTAGTTTGTATGAGGTGCCAGCAAAGTGCAGCAGGTCATTAACACAGTGTAGGAGGCCTCTGAGGTGCTTTAAGTAATCAGCTTATAACCTGTTTCTGTTCCTTCAAAGTCTGCTGGTGTTTTTTTCAATCTTCTGTGTTCCCAACAAAGTTTTTAGGTTATTTTTTATTTTCATCTTTCCACATGTGTTACAACCCCCTCTGCTAGGCGTCAGGGGGGAGTAACATACACAAGCCCCCAACACAAAACTGAGTAAAGAAAAAGGTTTTAATTTCAAACTTTAAACAGAAAACCGACAGGGCTATTCAGACCACTGGGCATATAATTATTACATAAAGAAAAAACAGTCAAGAGTAAAAGCTAAAGGTTAACTAAGGCAAGCTGACAGCACACAAAATAAAAGCTAAGGGTAACTAAGGCAAGCTAGCATCACAAAACTCTAATGAAACCAAGTTCAGTTGTATACCAGGTTTAAACAAAGAACAACACAACAAACAGGTTTAACAAACAGGTTTAACAAACAAGCCTCACATGCAAAGCAGATGAGGAGGCCACAGCATGTTCACTTCAGAGCAGCAATTCCCCACAGTGTGAAGGCTCTTCAGCCTTTTTACACTCCCAGGTGCAGACAATCAGCCCATCAATTGGTCTTGGAGTGGTCATGGGATCTCCAGGCAGCCAATCGTCCACGAGGTCTGGCACACTGTGATCTGCATAAAAGAAGGCTGGCACAGGACTCCCAGCAGCCAGTCATCCACGAGTCCTGGCACACTTAGATTTCCATAAACAAAAGGTAGTCTCACTCTCTCCAAGGCCCAGGGCCGTAACAAGTGGAAATGTCCACGTTCATGGAAAATTATTGTGATCCATCTTGCTGTTTGGGAACAATCCATTTCAGTCCAACAGTAATGATCATTGACAATTTTAAGTCTTTAATTTGTACTTCATAGACTCTTTGAGGTCTCACTGAACGATTTAAGATCTTTAACCAGTCTGGTGTAAAATGTTAATGGAAGTCAAGCACCAAGACTAAACAAAAATTCAGACATGCAGAGGAGTGTTTCTTCTCCAGGCTTTATTGAGTTTTCTCTGAAGAATAAATATTTCCTTTTTGGATCTTCTGATCTTCCACTCTGTGTTTTCTTGTACAACACTTTCTTTGTGTGAAAATGAGAGGGATAAATAAACTGGATGTCAAGTTTATTGACCTCAAGTCTTCAGCTGGGGGCAAAGTTCAAAGTGTGTTGTTTGCTCAAGCAGAGTGGAAAAGCAGTATATAAGAACCAGTCCATTTTTTCCTTTGAGCAAGGCAGCTAGACTTGTAGTGGTGTTTTTTGTATCTCATCATCTGCTGGATGCTTCTGTTGAAAGAAGTAGAATAATGAGTCCGTCTGACAACAGAAGAAGGAACATGCTTGCGTTTGTTTGCTTGTTTGTTTCTTACTTTAACTTTCTGAAAAATGTGTCTGGAGAAATATGCAGCAAAACTGGCGAGAGCCAAAACTAATAATAAGGTGACGACAACGACGACCACAGCGATCCTGGATCGACCTGCTGATGTAAGAAAAGACAAGATGGTGACCACAAATACACAAAACCCAAAAAGGAATGATGCAGAGAAAAGCTGAACTGTTTTCTCACCATTTGTTGGAGTCGTGTCTTCAGGATCTGGAGTTTGGAAGTGTCTGGGAAGCGGCATTGTCTCTTTAGTCCAATTTGAATCTAAAATACACAAAACAGAGTCATCATCTTTAGACAAAAGGAGCCTAAAATTTTGTAATGTGGAGACATAAATACACAAAACAAGAATCAGTCTTTGACTTGAATTTGAACAACAAAATAACATCCAATAAAATCTTCTCATGACTACAACATCATTCAGTCCTTATTAAAGTATTTAATTATTACATTCAGTTTCTTTAAAAAAGAAAAGTTTGACATGTTGAAAAAAAATTCTAGTCACATTTTATAGAGTTCACAGAATGATAGGGGCATAAAACATTTGCACTCGTACAAACACATACAGCCCTTTTAAATAACAGCAGATCAAAACAAAGGGGCAGATATAGTGTTGGTGATTTATAATGGGTGCCTCAAACTCTGATTATAATAACTGGACACAACACCACAATCAAAGTTTACATGTCACTGCCAATTGCAGGAAGATCGTTACATACATGAGGCATGACACATCTCAAGGGTGCTACTGAAGAGAGAGCAAGAGTGCTCAACAAATACCAGGCCTATTTAACCCAACCCTACAAGCCAGCACAAGTGCTTGCCAATCACCTAATTAGGGTGAGGCAGAAACAGAGAATATCACGCAACACTTGCCCTAATGAAGACAGAGATCACTCATAAACTTGACTCAGGGCTTCAGCAGTAAGGTTTTCCTGGCCCTTTTTATGATGCTTATACGAATTAAAGCTAGGAACTAGGTTAGCCTAGTGATAGAGAAACACTGGAGGGTTATGATCAGTGTGAATGATAACATGCTGAAAAGAGGAACTATCATACACTGCAAAGTGCTTGAGTGCCTGGGGCAAAGCCAGGGCCTGTTTCTCAACAATGTTCCAGTTTATGATTGTCTGAAAATGTTCTGGAGAAACGGCAGACAGGATGCACACCTGCATCCTCCTGGATCAGAGCAGGTCCCACACCTGTACCACTGGCATCAACGTCAAGCTTAAACAAAGTGGAAACGTTAGGAGCAGCAGGAGGGGTGATCAGTGTAATCCTCTATGCATGAAAGAGGAATAAGAAAGAATCAGGTTTGGGGACATAAACATGTGTATAAATGAATCGTCTTACCAGAGACGGTGACTCTGCAGCTGTTGTAGCCGCGGCCATAACCTGTGTCCACCTCACACAGGTACAGACCCGAGTCCTCAGTCCTGAGTCTGGACAGCTGGAGTCTGAGTCGTCCTTCTCTCAGGGCGTCTTTGTCACTCTGGACTCGTCCGGAAAACTTTTTGTCCTGATCCTCTGAGAACTCGACACCATCATAAAGATGATAAAAAGTCCAGTATTTATGGACATTATTCAGGATACAGAAGATCTTCAGTGTTGAGATGGACGTGTCAGGTTTGGTGGTGAACGTCCACTCCAGTGTGATGTTGTGGTTCTCCTCTGCCTGATAGGAGCTCTGTGTCACATCCACTACAAATGATCCTGTTGAGGAGACAGAGAGGAGCAGACACACTCACAACTTTATACAACATCAGAACTGTGAAACACAACAAACGTTTTCCTGACATGCTCCTGACAAAGAGCCTCAAGGCCTCTCTAACTTTGTCTCCAAACCATTCAAGCTGAGCTGTCCCTCCGATTACTCATTTCTAATCCTTTGCAATGAAAACAACACCAAGCTGTACATCATAGTAGGTTTCACTGCTTTTTTTTGATACTTTTAAATTACTGTGTCCTGCCAGAGTAAGTTTTAATTTAATTAATTGCTTTTTGTGAATTTATAATAATAAAAGTTCTAATGTATTGCTGAACTTGCCTTAAAGCGCTCTACTTGGGAAACATGATTTCACTTGTAAAAGAAACAGGTGAATAGCATTTGAGGTGTGAAATAAGATTTTTTTCTCTGTATCTATTATTGTGCGATCTACTGTACAATATGAAGCGCCTTGAGGCGACTTTTGTTGTGATTTGGCGCTATATAAATAAAATTGAATTGAATTGAAATAAGCCTTAGATCTTGTGAATACAATGCTCTGCAACAGTCTCAAGGCAAAGTTCCATCCATCCATTTGCTTTCACTTATTCTTTTTGACACGGGGGGCGCTGGAGCCTCTCGCAACTGTCTTAGGGCAAGAGGCAGGATACACCCTGGACAGGTCGCCAGTCTGTCACAGGGCTGGCACACTATATTTTATTTTTTTGAAAAAAAAAAAAAAGGGGGGGGGGGGGGAATAGAAGCAGTGATTAACTAAAACATGTACAAGCATACATGTAAATACAGAATACAAGGCAACGAATGGTGGAAAAAAATATTTTCTGTCTGTTTAATTGTATTATCTTTTACATTACATAGATTACACTGATAAGTAAAGCTCAAGTAAAAACAAACAAATTCATTCCTCTGAAAATGGTCGGGTACGAAGACTAGACTAAAAATGAGTAAAAAACAAAAGCAATGTCCAGAGAAACACTTTGAAAGACTTGAAGCCTTAAGAACAACCAACAAGATGATGAAAGGTATGAGACAGTATGACACGCTGGAAGCAAAATATAAAAAAATAAGGGGTGGTGCATGACTTTTGCGCAGTATATATTATGGGAGTTTAACAGATTACTGTAGATTAAACAGGATAAAAAAGTATTTAAACTGAGATGAAGTTTAAACTTATTTATACTTTATTTTCATTTATGTACAGCTTGCCACTTACATACAGTTTCTGTGTACTGAGTAGTTTTCATTGTAACCAAAATAACTATGACAACTGTATATTGAGCAAGAAAGCTGAAGATGAACACAGCATATAAAAAAGATAAGTTTAACCTGGTCCAATTTATCTCACAAAATGAGGGCATTAAAAACACTGTCGCATTCAGGATTTCAACAGTCACGTCAATTATCCACTCCCACTGTTGCTGTTGGAAATGCAGTCTCCATTTTTAAAACATTAAAACTCAAAAATGTTGCAAAGATTTCAACAAAAACTTGATGATTGCCTACAGTGAATTTTCACATCAGTTAAATATAGAGGAACTAAAAATATAGTACGCAATAGAAGGACATTATTTACCTTTAACAAAACCCAGATGGAGGATGAAAGTCCACAGGCGGAGAAATGGCATAAAATTCATTATGGCACCTTGTGAACAGTCAGTGGGATTCCAGCTCTTCTTCTTCCTCATCTTCACATTCTGGATGCAGACAACGAATTATTCTGTTACATTTCAACACACAGACATGCTGATAGCTTATTAGATGACATGATGAGTAAATTTTACTTAAGCAGCTACTAATGTACTAACATCTACTATGGTTAGCTTGTGGCTGAGAGAAACATCTACACTCAAAATAAATATATTACACTGCAAATCAGATCAACACCTAATCATAATTAAAAAGCACTGAAAAGTAATCTAAAACCAACACAACACATCACAGTAAGAACATCAGTGACCAGCATACACTTAAATGCATATAAATCAGCAGTTTTGCCTTCATGCTAAGTTCTTTGCAGATGCTGCACCAATCTAAACAAAACTGAGACATCCTTGAACTCTTCCACTTAGATCTTTTAAAAAGCTGGCTCCAGACTTTCCTGTATCTGGCATGTCTGGTTGAATGAGAAATTATGAGAAAGGGATTATATAAACAGTGATGTAGTCTGTCACTCTTGTTTTCATGAGCTTTACAGTGAATCAATCACTTATAGTCCAGTTACTTAAGCTGATCATGCTGGAGCTGAGCAGAAAAACAAATCTGAGACTGATCTGAGCAGTATGTCTGTGCTTTTTGTCAAACCAGAAGCTCCGGTCTGATCACTTACTTAAAAAAAAAAACATTGAAAAAGCCTGTTCTGCCGGCAAACACCGAACACAACAAGCTCACGAATGGTTTACTTTGAAAGTGAACTGATTTTTGGCATCTGTGCATCAGATAAATACAGATCATCCTGCGCTATAGACTAGAGGTGTCAGTATCAGAACAACAGCAGCCAACCCTGTCACATACAGGACCATTCACTGTCTGAACCACATGCACATGAGCATCATGGTTCTTCTGAGGTTATCGTTTACTCCCTTTAAACATTTAAAGCCATTACAGTCAGGACACAACTTCCTGTTTAGCACAGAAAGATTTTTTTAAAGCTGAAAAAAAAATGAATGCAGTCAGTCTTTGTCTTTCTGCATAGACGTGTTCAAGACTGACAAGTGTAGCTTTCGCTACTATAAATCCTGATTTAATTGAATCTTTATATATTAATTTATGCACTCAAGGAAAAACAAGAAATATTTGCCTAACGTGAAACAATACTTTTGAGTAAACTGCAACTGAAATACATAAAATAAAAAAGAACACTAGCAGACCATAAAGCTGCTAATGCAAGACAGAAACTGAATTATGGGGGAGTGTTCATAATTTTATCTGTGTGTGTCTTCAAGCAGCTGTGCTCATTTCCCTGCTTTAGCATAGAAAAAAAAAACACCTCACACTAGGAAAACAGAGTTGCTGTAATTTAATTGTTGAATTTGCAGTTGTGTTTGCTGATTGTATGTACATGCACAATGCTTGAACATGCTGTCAATGAGTCTGCTTTCTATTCTCTGATCTTTATAATGTGATTATTTCATGTCCAACTAAACAATAAAATATAACTAGTTTGCACTTTTTTTTGAAGAAACAAGATGACAAACAAACAAAAAAGCCCTGTTTAATTTTGCTGCTTTAGTATTTGTTACTTGTTTGTTTTGAGTTTCCTAACATTTGTAATAGTGTGAAGAAAGATAACACACATGATCACAAACACAGTTGAATATGTTACTATTATGTTATATGTGAAAAAAAAACCTTACCGTAGCTAGCGTGTTGCACTTGTTTTCATGAGCAAAACAAATCTCAGACAAGAAGCAGTATGTCTGTGCTTTCTGTCAAACCAGATGCCCCGGTCTGATCAGTTACTCGGAAACTGTGCAATCATTTTTCTGTGGGGAAAGGGGG